TTGATAACGATGCCCTTGTACCCGAATCGGATGAACGTCTTGATGAGTTCTCTGAATTTATCATCTTGAGGACTGAGGAATGTGTCTGCTTCATTGAGGCATAAGATGCGCGCGCTGTTCTGCATCATCATCTTCACGATTGGTCGATCCTTCATCGCCATGTTGTGCACCTCCCTGCCATCTAGCTTTGGATTCCTCGTGAGGTTTCCATGGTTCATGGTAAGCATGTTGATCGTCAGGGATGAGGTGTACTCATGCGTCTTGAGATGGTCCACAGGGGGACGGTCGGTCGGCTGCATCAGCGATCCTAGGATATCGGCAAATGCTCGGATGGTTTCCGGGTCGTCATGTGACCTAAGCTTCAACAATCCAAGCGGAAGCTTAATAGGATATCAGGATGTTGGCTGTGCATTCCTGTACTCGTCCATGGTGGGACATTCTCCTCGATGGCGGAAGTAAAACTCTTCTTCTCCGAGATTGACATCAGGATCAATGTGGCTCTCTCGCATTCTGTCAATTTAGGATGAGCTCTCCTTGGATCCTTGTTGTACTTCTCCATGAGGCGGAGGAAGTTCCTTTTGGTTTCCGTGAGCTCTTCCTCGGCGTCCTTCTTGCTCATTTCTATTTCGAGGTAGACTCCCTTGTGTTCCTGGATGAACTCGTCTAGGTTCTCGGTATTGCGATACTCCATTGTGACCTTTGGTTTGACGGATCTCTCCCCGGAGGGTTCCATGTTCTTCTCTTCAACTTCGTCTTGATCGGTGGAGCGCCGTCGCTTCTTGGTCTCTGAGGAAGTATTTTTTCTTTGCTGCGCTTGTCGGAATTTACATGGCTGAAGAAAGCATCGGCGAATTCACGGATCTTGGTGTCGTACATTTCAACATCTTCACGACTGAGAAGCTTCTTCATGATCCAGTTGTTGCTCGTCATGGAAGGCTGATGTCGGTGTCTGATCCATCTGGTACATGCCACCGGTCGTTGTGAGAGTTGGCCGCATCGCTGGTCGCCTTGGAAGTGCAGGTCGGTCACCAGGATGATTGTCGGATTCTGTCTCCTCATCCAGGATGTTCTTCGGTGCTGGCTTGACCTTTGACACAAGCCTCAATGCTGGTGGAGGTGACTTTGGAACCAGTTTTGGATGTGGCATCGCCTTCGACGTCGGCCTTCCTGCGGGAGGTTGCTCTTCCTCATCTGAATCATCGTCGTTGTCGGAATCTGGGTCGTAGTCAACCTGCTCCATGTTGACACTCTCTGGTTGTTGAGAGGCGGATGGATTCTCATCGGCGACCTGCTCCATGGGGCAGTCGGATGTCTCATCTTCCTCATCACGAGCAGGGGATTCCTTCAACGGAGATGCCCTGCTGCCGATCCTGAGCCTGCTTCTTCGTCCTTAAGCGAATTGTCCGCGAAGGTGAAAATGGTCTTACCTATCAGTCTCCAACTGTCTTCTAGGATGTCTGGATCTCCACCTTCGGATGCATCAATGATTTCCGTAGTACGCTCTCGGCTGATGTTGTCAGGATTGATTGGACATTCCTTGGCTCTATTTGGTGTGAACAGTGCCTTTCGAGGCGTGATGTGCACACGGATGAGCTGTTTGTTCTTCTTGTCAAGGATCCAATGGTCCTGCTTCTGAGACCCAATGATTTTCGGAGTTGCTAGGTCCTCCTTTTTCTCGGATGATTTTGCTGCACACACAGTTTCACTCTCGGAGATATCCCCGGAGGGAAACTTGATGCTGTTGTCATCATCGTAGACGTAGTTGGTGAGGCCCTTATGAGCAATTTCTCCACGCGCCTTCAGTCTTGCAACTCCAGCGAGATCAACGAGCGCATGTCCTGCACCGGATACCGGAACTGCTTGACGGTTCATGAGTTGTGTGCTCGATGGTCATGTAGAGGTTCCGCATCTGACTGATGCTGAGGAGGATCGGTACAGTTCCTTGCTCAAGGATGTCAATGTTGGTACTGCATTGCGTGATATCGAAGATGCAGGGTCCAATTTACCCTGGCGGTCTCTCCATTTGCAAAAGTGAACTTGGTCTCGGCCGGGAAAACGCTGGATTGCATGCCAGCTGCCCATGGATATGGTGCATCCGTTGTCCAGGATCGCATAGGTCGGATTGCGCTGGGGGTTGATGACAGGCGCCATCAGCTTTGTTGCCAACAGGCTGTGATTTGTTGCGACGGACAAATTGTGTTCTGAAACTGCATCTGATTGGATCAGCTTTTCGTGGATGGCCTCTTTCTCATGATGCTCATATGCGTCAAGGAATGCCATTAGCGCTTGTCCTGTGCTGGATGTCTCATGGGATGAGTACCAGCCTTGTTCGTTCCATGTCCATGATTGATCACAATCTTGGTCTGTCCAACCGGCATAGGTAGGCTCTGTGGATGGTGCGGTCTGCTGGATGGCGGGCTGCTCCTCCGTCTTCTCTGCGATGGCTGCGAACGTTTTGGATATTCCTTTGTCATGTCCGCTCTTTCCTTTGCCATTCTCATAGGATGGATAACCTTTGTTTCCATCATAGGGATACTGGAATTTTGATTTTCCTTTCTTTCCCTTCTTTCCTTTGTCTTTTCCCCAATATGCCTGGTCGTAGGGATCATAGTTTTCGTTGGCCATATTGGCCTTTCCGCCAGAACCGCTTTTTCTGAAGGGTTTAAAGCCACCTCGTTGGTGACTGCCCCTTTTGTTTCCTGATTTTCCTTTTCCTTTTCTCTTCTTGAATTTGAAGTTCCGCCCCGACACTTTTCTTGCTATGAACGCATCGTTCTCCTCGAGGACCCAGAATGTCTCTTCATCGTTGTTTGACATGAATCCTTCAAGTCCTTCTTCATCCTCAACCCAAAAGCCTTCTTCTCCTTCATATTCACCTTGTTCGATGATGAAGAATGTGTTGCTTCGGTTGCCTCCTTGAGGTCGGATGGATGGATCTTGAATGGATGTCCTGGTCGTGATGAAGAGCTCATGGTAGTGCGTCTTCAGCATCTCATAGGAGTAGTTCTCTAGTGAGATATTTCTCAATGACATTGCACTTGTCAGTCTCTCTCTCTTTGCTGATCTGACAGTTCACTCTGAATGATGAAAAACTGTGCAATGAGATTATCCCCGAAGGGAAATGCGTCCCGCTGTCTGTCCTGCATTCCCGAGATATACTGTCTGAGGACTGTTGGATCATCCTCATTGAGCAGGACTGGAGGCGGTGCTCGAACACCAGCTGAACACCGGCTGCTTGCTGATGTCGAGCAATTGTTCTTGCAGTTGCGTCCTGTACGGACTGTCGAAATGATGGGGACTGTGCCGTGAAAACTGGCATCAAGTCCATCCATGCTGCCTTCAATCTCATGAGAAGGATTTCGAATTTTGATGTAAAAACGAGGAACTCTTGGTTCTGCCTTCTATGATTGAAGAAACTGAGGAGCCTGTACAGATACACGTTGGTCGCACCTTTCAAAAAGTACTTCTTCAGCGTGTTCTTGAAGTAGTTGGCTCCTTCATCAGGATCTTGCAAAAGGTCATTTTGGAGGACTGCCTTATACATGTAGGCATCTCCTGTGAGTCTGCTTTTGAGCAGAGGTCCTCTCTTGGGTGCTTCCACTGTGGGGATTGTCACCCAGTCGTCCACGAGTTCTTCATACCTAAACCAGCTGACTTTTCCGTCGTACGATGGCGGCTGCTTGGCGGTCATCGGTAAATTGAGTGTTTCCTCCGTATAGCCTTGTGGTTTGGCCATACTTGAATAGGCTTCCATGAAGCCTTCTCCATCGGATGACATCTTCCCTTGGATCTCTGCGAGAAAACCCGCTCCGCTGCCACAAATTGAGGCCCACTGCCTCAGGTGCCCATCCCAGAAGGGAACTGGTACCCTGTGGTAGTAGAGGTCGTTGATTTGGTCCCTGGATCTATTCCGGAGAGAGTCCAATATGCCAATGTGGATGATTGGAGGATGGATTGTCCCTGGTGGCTTGTATTGACTGTTATTCCTGTAAGCGGTCTCTGCAAGCCTTTGTACTGCTATCGCATGAGTGCAATACGCTATTTACAAGAGGGCCTTGAGCCAAATGGTTGCGGGAGATCAATGGTGTACCAAACCAAACACAAGGGGAGGGGAGGGGGTGGTAAACTTCTTTTCTTGGGCTGTTGTGGGGGCTATTGCTTCCAGGGAACTGTGGATCATCGACTTTGCTGGGCGTAAGGCCTTTCAGCCTTTGATAAAGACCCTGCCACACGAAATGGCTTTTGAGCTGAAAACCCGGCACGAGCGCTCTCCTTCCACTAACTGACTGACTGACTGCCTGCCTGGCGGGCTGGCTGGCTGACTGACTGACTGACTGACTGATTTTTGACTGATTGACTGACGGACTGATTGATTTATTCATCGATTGTTTAGTGTGCACTTTCTATATTTCTTACTCTTCGAGGGTTTGGGACATGGAGCAGATGAGGCCTTTTCCCGTACCGGATTTCTGGTCGGCCTCGCCCCGTGGAAAAAACGGGTCACCAGCCAAGCAGATGATTCTACTGCGCTTGGTGGCAAGAAATCCGTTGTGCGAAATCCACCGGATTTAAACCGTGGAATGAGTCGATTTTCTCGTAAACACCAACAACGTTATGGTTTCGACCATGGTTTGAAAATGGTGCGAACGGTTTTCGTGCATCCAGAGTATCAGAGTATCATGCTGACATTGACTTATTAGTGGGCAAAGTCTTGGCTCAATTCTAGCCAGGCGCGGTGTCTTTTTGTGGACATCCAATTTTTGGGTGAGGGGAACCAACAGGCAACCAAGCCCCATTCGAAATCTGAATTCAGCTTTGAGACAAACCCATCAGGGCAACTTGGAAATGAGGCATCCCTAAGGTGGAACCACCCAGACTCGCTATCGCTCGATCGAACTTCTCTACAAATCGGCAGACTTTGCAAAGCTTGAAATAGGGGATCACGCAAAGAATCTACACATGGCTTCGCTCATACCGGATCCCCCTTCGTGGCTAGCCACTGATGGTTCCGGAGCTTCATCCGAAAGGAGAAGAAGCTGGGGATGGACGCGGGCAGGTACACAATGCTCGAGATCATCCAAATCACAAACCAGACCTGGCAGGCCAGGTGTGTTTCGTTTTAGGGGAACCCTCAAAACGGGTGGTTGGTTCCTCATCCAAAAAGGGGGTTCTCCTCAAAGAAGGGAACCACTCCCTCACCTTGTGATAACAAAGTGGGAGTCCCATGACTGCACAAGAACTTTAGAGGGGATTCCTTGGTAACTGCTGGCCCAAAGCAATGTCCACAAATGGGGACAAACAGCCTACCAAAGAGGCGGATTTGGCTTGGGACAGCTGTGTCATCTGAGCACAAGAATGCACCCCGTGGTCATTTTTCACCACTCGGGGATCAGACGTTTTTTGGGTCCCAGACCCGTGCTCAGTGCAGTTGTTTCCAGGAAAGTACGGTGCTGATGCCAAAGTGGTTTCTTCTTATCCCTGTGGATGTACAATTCCACTGAAGGTGCCAGTTGGTAGGTGGTTCACTCCATCATTTCTAGGGTTTCATCCATCCGTCCCTGGTGGTGCGGGTCGGATTGCGTCCAAAAAGGTATGACAAAATGTCACCTTTGAGGGAATTCCTGAAAGGTATCACAGAAAGTGGCAACCTCAAATCCAATTTCCCATGAAGCTTGTACGTTTCATGTTGATTTACACGTAGAAAGAGTCCTCAACCTTAGGTCTGCAAAGGCACGTCCAGTGGGGCCGACGGGCACTTTCCCATGTCCATAGGGTAGTAGGAGAGTTGCACGAAGGCAACTAGGAATAGATACACAGAATAAAAGGTAACAACAAGAATCATAGTGATAATTTAATACATAATATGTTTGTCTTCATCCTTTCTCTTTCCTTCATCTGCAATGATGATGGCAATCAAGACCATCTAGATTCTTCTTCATCCTTTGCCTTTCATTCATCATCGATTAAACTGATGATGACAATCAAGTTGTCTTCTTCATCCTTTCTCTTTTCTATTATCTGTCTATTTGTGGCTGCATAGGAAACGATGCCCACTCGCCCATCTGTCCATATGTGCATCCCGGCAAGCGGCGACGAACTTCAGCATGGCCGGGTTGTGCCCCAGCACGCGTTCGGCCATGCCGATGATTCCGTCCATCCACGCCACGCTCCAATTGGGAAACACGTGCTCCAGCACCTCCACGCATGGCCAGGTGGGCGATGGATGTGCCGGGAACCCTTCTTGGGGGTTGGAATAAAGGACAACCACAAGGAAACGTCCATGTTTGAAGGTCCCAAATGCGTATGGTGTTTAGTCATGCCTGGTCTTTTGGCGGGACCAAATCGCCCCGTTTCGATCCTACAAATTGCATTCAGCATCCCCACAGGCCAAAACCACTTCGAACCTTCTTAGAACGTGGATTCTCGTGGTAAGTACACAAGTCACCATTTGCCTTTACCATGTGCCTTTACCATGTCCTTAACAAATGGCCCTTTTTGTTGACTTGGGTCGCCAAAACCCGAAGCTCCAAAAACCACCTGGCCCTTCAGCTGGATGCATTTTCTCTCCCGCCTCGAAGATGGTTGCGCTCAGGAGGTCGCTGAGGATGGAGAACAGCAGCCAGGGCGCCAGCCAAAGAGGCAGCAACTCCACCTTCTCCGCACCCCCGTGGCGCGAGAAGGTGGCCAACTCCTGAAGCAGAGCAAAAAACCGTCGCACTCAGTCAAACGTTCAACCGACCAACCAACCGACCAACCGACCAACCGACCGACCAACCGACCAACCGACCAACCGACCCACCAACGCACAAACCAAGCGACCAGCCCACCAATCAACCAACCAACAACCAACCAACCGACCAACAAACCAACCAACAAACCAGCGAACCTACCAACCAACCGACCAACCAACCGACCCACCAACCGACCAACCGACCAACCGACCAACCAACCCACCAACGCACAAACCAAGCGACCAGCCCACCAATCAACCAACCGACAACCAACCAACCGACCAACCAACCAACCAACCCCCCAACCAACCAACCGACCAACCAACCGACCCACCAACCAACCAACCAACCAACCGACCGACCGACCAACCGACCAACCGACCGACCGACCGACCAACCCACCAAAGCACAAACCAAGCGACCAACCCACCAATCAACTAACCGACAAACCGACCGACCAACCGACCAACCGACCAACCAACCAACTAACCGACTGACCAACCGACCAACCGACCAACCAACCAACCAACGAACCGACCGACCAACCGACCAACCGACCAACAAACCGACCCACCAACCAGCCGACCAACCCTCCATTCAACCCACCAACCCACCAATCAACCAACCAACCGACCGACCAACCGACCAACCAACCAACCGACCAACCAACTGACCAACCAACCAACCGACCAACCGACCAACCAACCGACCCACCAACCAACCGACCAACCCACCATTCAACCAACCAACCAACCAACCGACCGACCGACCGACCAACCAACCAACCGACCGACCCAACGACCAACCAACCGACCAACCGACCAACCAACCCACCAACCGACCAACCGACCAACCAAGCGACCCACCAACCAACCGACCAACCCACCAATCAACCGACCAACCGACCAACCGACCAACCAACCAAACAACCAACCAACCAACCAACCAACCAACCAACCAACCGACCAACCAACCGACCCACCAACGCACAAACCAAGCAACCAACCAACCAAACAACCAACCGACCAACCAACCAAGCGACCGACCAACCGACCAACCAACCAACCGACCAACCAACCGACCCACCAACCAACCGACCAACCCGCCAATCAACCAACCGACCGACCAACCGACCAACCCACCAACGAACCAACCCACCAATCAACCAACCGACCAACCGACCAACCCACCAAAGAACCAACTGACCAACCAACCGACCCACCAACCAACCGACCGACCAACCCACCAACTGACCAACCAACCGACCCACCAACCAACCGACCAACCCACCAATCAACCAACCGACCGACCAACCGACCAACCGACCAACCAACCGACCAACCAACCGACCAACCAACCGACCCACCAACGCACAAACCAAGCGACCAACCCGCCAATCAACCAACCGACCAAACGACCAACCGACCAACCGACCAACCGACCAACCAACCAACCGACCAACCGACCAACCCACCATTCAACCAACCAACCGACCGACCGACCGACCAACCAACCAACCAACCGACCGACCAACCGACCTACCGAGCAACCAACCAACCGACCAACCAACCGACCATCCAACCAACCGACCAACTGACCAACCCACCAATCAACCAACCAACCGACCAACCGACCCACCAACGCACAAACCGACCAACCAACCAACCGACCAACCAACCGACCAACCAACCAACATCAGTGCACCAACCAACCAACCAACCAACAAACCAACCAACCAACCAAACAACCAACCGACCTACCAACCAAGCGACCGACCAACCGACCAACCAACCAACCGACCAACCAACCGACCCACCAACCAACCAACCAACCCACCAAGCAACCGACCAACCCACCAACCCACCAACCGACCTTTTAACAAACCGACCGACCGACCAACCGACCAACCGACCAACCAACCGACCCACCAACCAACCGACCAACCCACCAATCAACCGACCAACCGACCAACCAACCAACCGACCAACCAACCAACCAACCAACCGACCAACCAACCGACCAACCAACCAACCGACCAACCAACCGACCCACCAACGCACAAACCAAGCGACCAACCCACCAATCAACCAACCGAACAACCGACCGACCAACCGACCAACCGACCAACCGACCAACCAACCGACCCACCAACCAACCGACCAACCAACCAACCAACTGACCAACCGACCAACCGACCAACCAACCAACCGACCAACCGACCAACCAACCGACCCACCAACCCACCATTCAACCGACCAACCCACCAATCAACCAACCAACCGACCGACCAACCGACCAAGCAACCAACCGACCAACCGACCAACCGACCGACCAACCGACCAACCGACCAACCGACCAACCGACCAACCAACCGACCCACCAACCAACCGACCAACCGACCAACCGACCGACCAACCCGCAATTCAACCAACCAACCGACCGACCAACCGACCAACCAACCAACCGACCAAACGACCAACCAACTGACCAACCAACCAACCAACCCACCAACCGACCAACCAACCGACCCACCAACCAACCGACCAACCCACCAATCAACCAACCAACCGACCAACCGACCCACCAACGCACAAACCGACCAACCAACCAACCGACCAACCAACCGACCAACCAACCAACCGACCGACCGACCAACCAACCAACCAACCAACCAACCGACCAACTGACCAACCAACCGACCCACCAACGCACAAACCAAGCGACCAACCGACCAAACAACCAACCGACCAACCAACCAACCGACCAACCAACCGACCAAACAACCAACCGACCAACCGACCAACCAACCGACAAACCAACCAACCGACCAACCCACCAATCAACCAACCGACCGACCAACCCACCAACCCAACTGTCAAGAGACGGCAAGGTGACGTCCCGTGGGACGCTGTCCACCGAACCCTCCAGCTGTGTGTCCCCAACCACGTAGAAAGGTGTATACGGTCAAACCGTTATAGCCGAACCCGTGTAAACTGTTGTAAGGGATAAGGACCAATAACCACGATGGTGATCCTGGCAGCTGCAGCGCGAATGAAGTATTTTCCACTCTCTATGGTCGATCACGTGCAAACGTAGTTCATGCAAGACCTTGAGCCCTACTTGTGACTTGAGCCAAATGGCAGTCAATGGAACATTATAACCAACAATAACACAGACCTCAGAACAGCTTCCCAATTTAGGCACGGGGCCAGGAGGGTTTAAAATCCCCCATTTGGGTCGCATCGTTCATCATGCGGTCCAAACATCACAACACGTTCCAATGGCCACGGCTCCGACTACGAAACTGTGTCGCACACTCTTTCATTCACTATTGCTACACCGTCCATTCATTGTGAAACTTGCCAGGTCCAATCAAGACAGAAACATGCATCCGCAAATCGTAGCACATTCCTATACTCAGATGCAAGAGACATTTTGCCTCGTGCCAATACGCAACCACTTGAAATCCCGACTGCCGCATTTGCGCATCGCGCAGCCGTCATCCACAGAAATGGGTTGGCCATAGAAATCCATAGTCACGCACGGTCATATGCCATCTGAATCTCATTGGCAAAGTGCGAGCAACATATGCAAAAAAATAGCCATTCCAGATACCACGAATAATATAAGGAAAAGAAATCATCCATGAGGTAATAGTGCACATCCATGAATATCCGGAATGTCATAGTCGTCGGAATATGTAAATATATACACATCCATTCTCCTTGGACACATGAAATCATATCATGTCAAAGAAATGTTCCATCATAGCTAAGTCGATGAGACGCAAGCGATGAATGGGGGCTAGCCCGCGTCATGCTGCTGGAGTGAATTTTATGTATTGCTGCTGATGGATGCACCATACCGCAAAAGCAATGATTATCCACACCTGCATCACGCATATCTGTCCCCAATGGACAGCCTATTGGTGCGCCGACGGAACTCTTCGTCCAAATTCTTTTGGGCTTCTCGCGCCCTGACGCATTTCTTGTGATGGTCCTCTGGTAGCCAATGTCCCTTTCGGAGACACCAATCTAGCAGGGGTGCGTCGCATTTGTTTGAGTCAGTGGCCGCAATAATGGCGCTCACGTTGACCGAATAACCATATCTGCCAAGGTTCAAGCCTTCCCTTATGAATGATATATATTTGCAGTTGAAAGCCAGGGAGAAGCATCTGTAAACAATATCACCCACCGGGTGTATGCGATCCTTGACCAGGAGCTTCATTTCGTCTTTGGTGATGTCGAGGATCTTCGCTGCAATCCACAGCTTGTAGAATATGTATAGCCCCTCGCATTTGTACACCAAATAACGGATGTATTCGTTGCGCTCCTCAGCCGACCGGAAGGTCCTTGCTCGAACGTTCTGAGATTGGGAAATCTTCAGTACCGTTGATGGCAAGAGGATCCCTTCCTGATCAATCTCTGTCATGTTGGGGTACTTCCCGAAGTCGTTGTGGTATGGGCAAGCGTGCTTCCCTTCGAGAGCGGCATCGATCGTTCTCTTTTCCCCACCCTCGAACATCCCCCACATCTTTGACATCTGCAGTGCGATGAATCCCGCCATGTATTGTGCCTCCCGTGGCTCATCCATGCAGATCGCCATCCGCTGGGAATTGATAATATCCCGTGATGCCATGTCATTGTCGCGGTACTCCCAACCACCGTCTTCTTCTTCGGACATGTAACCAGATGTGTATCCTTGCGTGTCCATGTCGTCGTCTTCGGAATCATTTTCCGTCTCATCACCCTTTTCCTGCTCCGCCGCGTTGTCGTTAGCCTCATCTTGTGCTCGTCTGGCGTCACCTGACACATTGGGTTTATGGTCGTCCCCCTCGTCATCGGAACCAATGTGGATGCAGAATCTCCCGGTAGAGATCAATTGCGCCCCACATTCCAGACACACACAGAAGCACGTGGGAATCGCGGTTGCACATGACGGACAAATTCGGCATCGTAGC